ACTCAGCAAAAGGTCAAGCCCCTCTCCTCCTTCTTTACTGACTTGTGACAAACGCCCTCTACACCTCCGTCTTCTATATCACCTAAACTGCCATTACCCCCCCCGCAAATGCCCTTTCCATATTGGACTCCCCCGCCACCCAAGTGCTTCCTGCACCCCGGCGTCACGCCCTACACCCTGTCAGAATGCCGCCTGTCGCGCCTCCTTACCAAGGACAGGCAGGCCGTGAACCATTACACCTGTACCATCGCCTCCTTTCACCCTGGCTTACCCTAGCTTTAAAGAAATCAATAACAAATGTTTACTGTTTGCATAAAAGCCCAAAACCGCGCTTACGCCCACCCGTACTGGCGATCTTTTAAACATCACCACACCCACCCACGCCTCCACTCGAGAGAGGCCTGCTGACACGGCCCTCCTGCCTGGACACCCCAAATCCCCGAGGCCTAAACCAGCCGCAGCACCAGACACGACGCCCTCCTTCGCCTGCACCGCCCAACAGCACCCCGGAACGACTTGCCCCTCCAGGTTAGACTTGCTCCAACTCTGCCTGTTTTTAAATCTCGTTTAAAAACCCACTTATTTTCCCTGGCTTTTACTGGCCAGGTATGACACTTGTGCTTTTAAATTTGGGTTTTTTATCTTATTAGTGTTTTGTATTGTTTTTACGTCATGCAGGAGAGTTTTTCAGTCTGTGGCTTCTGATCTGGTTACATTGTCTTGTGTTTTACATTTGTTTCATGTCCTGTCTGTTTTTTATGTATTTATGCTATGTTTTTATACAGTTGTTGATGTACAGCACTTTGTTCAACTCTGTTGTTTTTAAATGTGCTATATAAATAAAATGAATTGGATTGGATTGACAGCCAAGGGGGGAATCAGGCGAGAGCAAGCGAAATGGAGACGTCTCGACTGAAGCGACGGCTATAATGGTATCACTTGCCGTCTCGTGGAATAATGATCGCAATTAGGGGTGAATAAAGGGGAGATTACTGAAGGAGCTTCGGATCTTAAGAAGATGGTTCGCTTTCAAAAGAACTATAGGAGTTCAGCAACAAAACATGATGTACCATCATCCCTAGTAAACATTTGTCAGCATTCAAATGTTTTACAAGTTATTATTATCATAGATAGATACTAAGACCCTGCCTGAAAAATACATAATTGTTGTTCAATCACAATTCTCAAGTGCAGAATAATTTTTTTATTGTTAAAACTTGCATCAGGTTCACTTACTTTTAACTTCACCTACTTTTATTATACTGGTAGTTATTTTTAGCATGGTTGTGTACTTTTTTTAATTTGATGACACATGTGTTTGCCTCTTCTTTATATGTTAGCCTCTTAATTTATTTCTTTTATCTCCACTGTCTCTCTTCTGCTGCTGTAACACTGTAAATATCCCCGCTGTTGGAGGAATAAAGGATTTCTGATCTCTGAAGTCTGGTGATTTGTGTCCTCAATTCTCTGAACACCAACATTATTACATGTCTCGTCTGCATTTGTTTTTGTTTTTTTATATTAAACATCAAAACTGAACATTCAAGTGTCCTATTACAAACAAGGGTACTGCCCAATCTTAGTCACAGTTTCTGCCTCTCACCAAGCCTGTTGTTGGGGGTAGAGGGGTCTAAGTGTTCAGATGACACCGTCTCAAGGACAACCGATTGCACATTCAAAGGTATTTTGATAAAACTACATTGTGAACAATACATATGTGTAATATTCTTAGCTCTAAGCAACTTGTAATGCTAAAAATTATTCAAATCGCAGCAAATATGTTATGGGCTCAGAATAGTCTCATAATACACACATGCACACAGAAAAATTCACACTTGTATTTTATGATCCGCAAAAGGATTCACACTTGTATTTCCGCGTCCACACTTGTGTTTTTCAATGCACACACAAATGTGTTCCGTTTCATATACATGTAAATAAAATCCAAATACAGAAAAAAGTTTTAAATGTGAATTTTTGATCCACATATATTAGTTTTCCGTTTAAATCCCCTGAACCTGCAAACACAAAACGCTTTCTGTGCGCGGATCGCTGCGAATTCGTGTGTGGGTTTTTTGAGACTCCCCTGATGGTCAGCCGATTCGTACTTGTATTTTTTTCTATCTATAGCCAATCAGATGTCTCCTCAATTCTAAGCCAATCACATGAGCGCGCCCCCACGAGGGTAGATTTATTGCGTTCATGACGTAGCGCTTCATGTACTCATTTTGCACAGTCCGGAGCTGACAGGTCCATGGAGCCTGCCTGCAGGCACTAATCTCTGGACACCTCCCCTCTCAGTACATTGCCACTTTCCGAACAGGAAATGCACGCGAATACAAGCCTTCATATTATTAAGGTACAGCGCCACTTTCCGAACCATTGATGAATGCTTGTGTGTACACAAAAACGGCAGGCAAAACCGTTTTAAATGTGTGTTTCCTGTATGGCGAATACAGCTGCTTTATTTATGTCTGTATGAAGTTGTTGTGAGTGTGGAGGGAGCAGCTACAGGTAGTGATGGCAGTTTGACACTGAAGCTTCGAACGGAGCTTCAACCCTGGACTTCCTATTCCATAGAAGCAGTGCTTCGAAGCTTGCTTCAAATCACGTGACATATGACGTCCGAAGCAGCAACTGCTTCAAATCACGTGACATGTGACGTCCGAACCAGCAACTGCTTCATTTCCTGAATGAATCAACTCACTGGTTCGCCGTCTCGATTCTGACAGGTGACAGGTTGAAACAGGTTCAAATTTGAGCGCTTCAACACTTTATAACCGCTCTAATCAATGCGTAATGTGTGGGTTGTTGTGTATTGCATTTGAATTGGATCATTATAGAGCAAGCCAGGAAGAAAAATAGGTCGTTCTGGCTCGTGAAACACTACGAAATGTGGAGAAGTTGTGAACAAAAAGACAATGAGTAATATAAAAATACTTCAATTGTCTAAGGAATTGATAGCCCAGTGGATAGAGCTGGCGGCCAGGATGCGGCGATGTCCTCTGCGCAGCTGGTTCAATGCCCGGAATAGTTAAACTTTTAATCATTGCTTTACAAATTGAATACCTTAATAACCAGTGTTGGGCAAGTTACTTTTAAAAAGTAACTAGTAATAGTTATAGTTACTGCTCTCAAAACAGTAACTAGTTACTTTATTAGTTACTAAATTATAAAAGTAAGTAGTAACAAGTTACTTTACTTTAAAAATAATAACAATAAAAATACAAGTTTTTGTGTTGTTCTGTGGCACAGTAAGAGCAATTGTAGCAATTATCATTATGAAATGTAGTGGAACAATAAAACACAAAATATATGTTTAGACATTTTGATAGGCATCTTTATTGTAGCCTTAACAATCAAGTGGACAATGGTTTCTGTCCTGCACACAGTTTACATTTGACCGTAATATTTTTTGCGTCCTTTATCCCCACAAATTGAAAATAGTGGTTATAATTCCAAGTTGCAAATGCGCTGCTGCTCTCGCTAATACTTGCANGCCTGGAGACAGACCATCGTGTGCTCCAGTGGCTTCACAAGATGAAGGACACAAACATGCGTATTGCGGGGTGGTACCTTGCCTTGCAGCCATACAACTTTACGGTTAAGTACATGGCAGGGAAGTCAAACCTTGTAGCTGACTGTTTGTCCCGAAGCCAAGACTGACACTATGCTTCCTAGGGGGAGGGGTGAGGGGTGATGGGTGAGGAAATGTAACAGAGGTGATCTCTGGGGCCGTAGATCTCAGTCCCCGTTACATATTATATAGCTTCTGTATTGTCGAAGCATATTCATTTTGTACCACGGTAGAATATGATTTCAAAGGAAGCATTTGATTTATATAAAAGATTGCAAGCTTGTGTGGCATTTTAAACCTGTTTAATGGAATGGTTTTAATTGTGTACATATGATTAATAAATTCCCACACTGGGTTGTATTTTGACGTTCTGTCTCTGCCTCATTACTTTGGTCGGGCCGCTCACTTGTCAGCTTCACAGGGGGTTATCAAGCTTTCCTGGAAGAGGAGCAGCACTGGACTTTGTTCTTAATTAAACTTGTTATTGTTTGATAACGATAAACACGCGCTTACATCAAAGTTAATTTCTGGTTATAAAACTGCTCAGGTGAACTCTTCTCATGAATCAAAGGGGCGTGGGTTGTTCTGTACTTAAATGTAATCTAACTCTTGGTTTTCAGTCATTAAAATACATTAAAGACACATACATAGATCACTGCTGCAAAGGTAATGAAGTCTGATAGCGAGGCATAACAAAACAATGTTAACGTGAACCGTTCAACAAAACAGGCTAACAACTAAATGTAGTTTGGAATAAAAAACATATTCTAATTTTAATTACGAGACACTACAGATGAATTGGTTAAAACAAAACCTGTGAACATTTGTTTTATGTATCCTTTTATGAAACCAGTACGCAGAAAAGTGGCTGCAAGGCTTTTTTGAGAATGAACAAGGAAGTTAAACACACTTTTATATATTTATAATAACAAGCAATCTAGAATTGCTTGTTGGACTTAGTGGAGGCTTTTATGTTGAATTTCCAACAAGAAAGCAAGTCACCCAGACTTTTATTTTGTATTTTCGTCGGAAGCAGAGATCTACAGTGAATAAAACAGAAATATTTATGAACAGGTAAAACTGATTGCTTTCTAGTGGCTGAGACGATAATCAGCACCCAAAAATAAACAGCACTTTTTATTTTACTTTTTATTAAAATGCATTAGTTCTGCTGAAGTTAAAAACATTACTTTATATTGTTTGTATTTATTATAAAACGCACAACTAGAAATCCTTTTATTTTGAAATTCCAACAAGAAAGCAAGTCATCCAGGCTTTTATTTTGTATTTTGTTAATAAATATGGTAATAATCTTCATAAGAATACATTTACAAGGTAACTTTTACCAATTGCACATAATAAAATTAATAAGAAGTTACATTTGTACTGTCACATATTTATTAATTTGATCATTTGTATTTAATTGCATTTATTTATTCATTCATGTATTCATTCATACGTCTGAAAAAAAAGTTCATCCAAGCTTTTATTTTGAAATCACAACCGGAAACGCTGTTATTCTTGCAGCAGGTGCAGCCCATGGATATATAATAAAAACGGTGCAGCTGCTCATCAACA